GATGAATTTATGTCTGGATTCTTAATTTTGTTCCATTGGTCTATGTAGTTGTTGTTGTACTAGTATGAGGCTGATTTGACTACCGTGGCAGTATAATAGGTTCTAAAATCAGGTGGTGTGAGGCCTCCCACTTTGTTCTTCTTCTTGAATAATGCTTTACTTATCCGGGCCCTCTTCCCTTTCCATACGAAGTTGGTGATTTGTTTCTGCATCTTGTTAAAAAATGCCGGTGGAATTTGTTTCGGGGTTGCATTGTATCCGTAGATCGCTTTGGGTAGAATTGACATTTTCACAATGTTGAGTCTTCCTGTCCATGAACAAGGTATGTTTTTCCACTTATGCAGGTCTCTTTTAGTTTCTTGCAGTAGCGTCTTAGTTTTCATTGTATAGGTCTTTTACATCTCTGGTTAGATTTATTTCTAAGTATTTTATCTTCTTGGGGGCTATTGTAAATGGTATTGATTTGGTGATTTCCTCTTGGAAGTTCTCTTTGTTGTTGTAGAGGAATCCAACTGATTTTTGTATGTTTATCTTGTATCCTGATACTTTGCTGAAATCTTCTACTAGTTCCAGTAGTTTTCTTGTGGATTCTTTGGGGTTTTCTGTGTATAAGATCATATCATCTGCAAATAGAGACACTTTTACTTCTTCCTTACCAATCTGTGCATCCAGAATCTTGGAGTTCTCTGTTTCTTATAGCAGGCATACCAGGAATTTAGCTGCTTTCTTAGCCCCTTTTTGAGTACTGTAATATGTTGCCTGTGTATTAGGAAGAACTATAGGCATTTCTAAGGTTTGGTTTAACAGTTTTTGAGAACACACTGCCCTCTAAGTACTGTTAAGAGCTGGAGATACAAAAAGTGAAAATGAGGCCACCTCTACGTACAAGCTAAGGGAAGGTGAGAGAAACACTGATAGTTGCCATGTAACTAAGTGCCAGGTATTGTCAACACACCTTCCATACGCTCTCAGGTAATCCTTCTAAAAACCCTATGAGGTTGGGGGTGGTGTCCTCACATTAGAATTAGAGATGAGGAACCTGAAATGTAGAAGGGAAAGTTACCTGAAAGGCAGCACTAGGTAATGCTCAGCACCCAGGATTTGAAAATCACAGGCCTGGGTTCATATCCTTGGTTTCAAGCTCATGCCAAACCCCAACCAAACCCACTGCCGTCAAGTCTTCCAACACACAGCGATCCTAAAGGACAGAGTAGAACTGCCCCATAGGGTTTCCAAGGCTGCAATCTTTATAGAAGCAGACTGCCACATCTTTCTCCCTTGGAGCAGCTGGTGGGTTCAAACCACTGATCTTTTGGTTCGCAACTGAGTGCTTTAACTACTGTGCCACCGGGGCTCCCTCCAAATTCACACAGAACCTCTTAATTACAGACGTGGTTAGTTGCCTCCCATAGTGGGCTGAATGGTGGCCTCCAAAGAGATACGTCCATGTCTTAATCCCTGGAACCTGTGAATATCTTATATGTCAAACGATGTGATTAAGTTACGGATCTTGAGAGCCAGGCCCTAACGGCAATCACATGTATCCTATAAGAAGACACACAAAGACAGAGCCTATATAAGACAGATACACAGAGGAGGTGATGTGAAGATGGAGAGAGAAAGACTGGAGTGATGCAGCCCCAAGTCAAGGAATGCCTGGAGCCTCCAAGAGCTGGAAGAGACAAGGAAGAATTCTTCCCTAGAGCCTCCAGAGGACTGTGGACCTGCGGACACCTTGATTTTGGACTTGAGGACTTCAAAACTGTGAGAATGAATTTCAGTTGTTTTAAACCATCAAGTTTTTGGTATCTGTGTTACAACAAATGCCCTATTCAGCTTAAGGTTCCATTGTGTAGTTTCTAACAAGATGGAGAAAAATCTAACAATAGGTTTTTCTGGCTTATTTTTGCACAAAATAAAAACCATACTTCCTTTAAGGTGCTTCAAAGCAGGTTGACGTTTATATGTTGTTGTGTCTAAATCACCAGGTTTGAGGGACCACTGTCAGTGATTGTGGACAAGAAAGAGATCGTTTGTATTTTTCATTGTTTTCTGTTGCTAAGTGTTTTTAATCTCCCTGTGATTTTGAATCCTTTTTTTATATTAATATATGTCTTAGCAGTTTTGTGAGTTGTAGCCAATTATTTATTAAATGATAAGCAGGAAAATGTATTCATAATTATAAATGCTGATACACTAACAATAGTCAGTGAACAGCTGAATGAAATCAGTGGATTTAGATTGTGTGTGTGTGTATATATATATACGGTCCCTCTTTCTCTCTACATAGTTGATTCTCAGTATCTGTGGTAGTTATGTTTTATAGTTGTCTTGAACACTATTGTTGTTAGGTGCCATTGAGTTGATTCTGACTCATAGTGACCCTGTGTACAACAGAACGAAACACTGCCTGATCTTGCACCATCCTCACAATCGTTGCTATGTTTCAGCCCATTGTTGCAGCCACTGTGTCAATCCATCTCACTGAGGATCTTCCTTTTTTTCACTGACCCTCCACTTTACCAAGAATGATGTCTTTCTCCAGGGACTGGTGCCTCCTGATAACATGTCCAAAGTACATGAGACAGTCTCACCATCCTTGCTTTTAAGGGGCATTCTGGCTGTACTTCCTCCAAGACAGATTTGTTTGTTCTTCTGGCAGTCCACGGTATATTCAATATTCTTCACCAACATCACAATTCACTAGATTAGTGAATACTGAACCACTACTCCAGGGGATATACAGGGTTAGGTTCCTGTGAGCCTCCAGTCCCAACATTTTTAATCAATGGATCAAGACATAACTTTATGTGTTTCTGTTTAAAGATTCCTTATTTAATGTATGTTGTTGATTCCTTAACATTGAATTCTCATCCAACAGCACTATAACTCACACCTGAAAAAGCTTATCTAACCCACGTGTTTTCTCCATAAGGCACATAGTCTTCCAGTGCTTAGGAACACAAAACAACACCTCAGGACTACGCTGGGGGGCATTTTAAACAGCAAAATCTCCAATGACTAGCACAAAAATGCAGAAAAACTTGGCACAAAACATACTGCCCATAGGGTACTTGTTTACAGTAGGAGAGCTGAGACAAGAAGGCAGAGTGCACCTGTCCCTCCTCAGCCAGAGGTGTGTGCGCTGCATGGCTCAGACATTTCCCCCTCTGCGTATGTCTGGAGGAGCCCAGGTAGAGCAATTGTTATAAACACTCGGCTGCTAACTGAAAGGCTGACATTTCAAACACACCAGCAGCTCTGAGGAAGACCTGGTGATCTGTTCTCTTCAAGACTGCAGCCCTGGAAACCCTATGAGGCAGTTCTACTCTGTCATACAGGGTTGCTATGAGTTCTAATCAACTTGATGCCAACAGGTTTGTGCATGTCTGTGTGGGCTATGAACAGGCTTTGAGTATGGATTTTGGGGTTCCAAATAAATTTGAATGAGGTAAATTCACAAATATGGAATCCACGAATAATGGGGACCAACTGTTTGTGTATGCGTATAAAGCCTTTGGTATGTGAAGGGATTGTCATGGAACAGAGCTTTGTGGGTTGTCCTTATTCTCAGTGTAGTATTTGGGAGCCTCGATTTAGGTTCTTGAAAACAGTGCCTTCAACCTCAGGCCTCAGCTGGTCCTCCCGCTGCTTCTTCCAGAGCCAGTTTTGGGAGAGAAGGGGTAGGGAGGTGGAGGTCACTGTTCTTGGCAGAGGTGTCACATGCTGTGCCGTGCCCCTCACACTGCCACCTCCTGTCAGGACGGGAAGCTGTGGTCCTCACAGAGGGCTCCTGAAGTCAGACTCCAATTCCCTAGGTCTGGGACGGGGCCTTGGAACCTGCATTTCTAACAAGTTCCCAGGTGCTGCAGGTGTGGCCCCACACGTTTGAAACAACTGATCTAAAGAATACAGACCAAGGGACACACATCTTGGATGAACCAGCTGACCCAGCGCAGTCACTCACTGACTGGTTTACTCAGTATCAACAGATGCTGAGGACAGTTAGTGTTCTGGGGCGTCGGGGGCACAAAAGTTATGGCTGGTTCCTCCCTTACTGGCCCCCGACTCCCCCACCCTGTGTGCCTGTGTGTGTGACAGAGAGACTGAGAACTTCTCAGCCTTTCAGATGTTGACTTTTCAGTCGAGGATAATAATATTGAAATCTAGTATTTTACTGGAATGAAGAGGGAACAGAACAGTTAAAAGGCCCAAGATAAAGGAGCTCAGCCAGCCTTTGAAAATGGCTTACTCAGGAAGTGGAGACAAAGGCCTTTGTCGTGATATTTTCCCAAACGTTTTAAATTTTTCACAATTAAAATTAAAAAATGAACAGAATTAAGCACGGAAAGACTGCCTGGGGGTCCTTCTAGTTGGACACCCTACAATGTCAGGCACGAATCAGAAATCCCTCTGTAGGCAGCTCTGAGGGAAGAACAAGCGCCTTCCAGGGGACCCTCGATATTCAAGGCACCATGGACCAGGCCGAGGGTTTCAGACCTCCCAGTACAGGCAGTGCTTTAGACAGACAGGGTGGGATCTTCTGAGTCAACGTCAGTTTCCCAAAACCCCCAGTAAATACTCACAATAAAACAAGCCGTCTGCATCAACAAGGGCATCACATGTACATCAGATGACCCTCACTTATCTCCATGTCTCTCTGGAAGTGTGAACCCTCAGAGCGTGTTCTAAAGAGAGGTGCCTCCAGGTGCCCTCTCAGTCCAGGCGCGCCAGTCAGCTCACCCAGGCCCCTAACAGGTCTCTACACCTGCTAGGAAAGCTGGGGGAGGAACCAGGCCCCCGACTGTACAGTGTCCCCAGCTCACGAGAGGGGCATGTGCGACAGACCAGAGCACTGAAACTGTACAGTGCACGGCCTTTCAGGGCTGCTGAGGAGCGCACTCAACACTTGGCTCACTGTAGCTCTCAAGCATTTTCACCTGCTCATCTCAGGTCGGAGTCCAAAGTGTACAGAGGGCAGCTGCTTCTGAAATCCTTCTGTTGGTTTTATTTCGGAGACTTTACAGTTATATACAAAAAGATAAAATACTGAAATCCGTTTTATTTACATGGTCTAAAATCTCTGATAACAAAAGTTTCTCATGAAAGATGATGTTAAGTAGAGCAGAAATACTGTCTGTGGTTGACAACTCAGTAACAGAAAACGTGCTCTATTTCATGATTTTTCACTCTACAAGGAAATCTCTAGTTTGGTTTGTCTGACACAGTGAATGTCTGTTGTGTTCACTTTTATGACTGTATATGCTCTTTCCATCTCACTTACAGACTCTGAAAGGCAGTGTGACAATCCGACCCCACTCAACTTCTACCAGGAAACTTTGGCTCGCCTGCTCTTCTAATATCTCAGGATCGATTGTCTTCAATGACAATTGTTCTTCTAGGGTAAGCTTCAACTTCTACAAAAATGTATCTGAATTCATATTCACCACTCTCTGGGTTCTGAAAAAAAGGTTATTTCAAGCCATTAGTTTTCTGCCCGGGCTTTAAACAGTGTATCCTGTGGAGCCCTGCCCCAGGCCCGTGTTTCCTTCACTTCTGGACGCACCTGCCCAGCACCCACTCCCCCATCACTTCTGGATGCACGTGCCCAGCGCCCACTCCCCCATCACTTCTGGATGCACGTGCCCAGCGCCCACTCCCCCATCACTTCTGGATGCACGTGCCCAGCGCCCACTCCCCCATCACTTCTGGATGCACGTGCCCAGCGCCCACTCCCCCAAGCCCACACCTCCTTCACTTCCAGGTGCACGGTCCCATGCTTCCCTGGCTCTGAGCCCTCAATGTAGAACTTAAGGCGCATGTGCTGTAGCCCGTCTTTGACGTACTCGATGAAACTGTGGAGAAGGCATACAAGGATGTGTATCTAAGTTCCTTCATTGAGAAATGGTTCCCAAGCTTTCCAAACCCAGTGTGTGACAGTACCTGACATGCTGCCGTCTCCCGCGTCGTGTTGTCTCCCCATAGCCTTTGATTGGCTCACCAAAAACACCTATCACCTTGAGGAAGAAAGACAAGGCTTTCTTCAGCACATGCTGGTTTTTTAAAGCTTTCTGTGTTGTTGGGTGCCGTTGAGTCAGTTCCGACTCACAGTGACCGCATGTGACAGAGTAGAACTGCTCAATAGGGTTTTCTTGGCTGTAATCTTTACTGGAGCAGATTGCCAGGCCTTTCTTCTGCAGCACTGCTGGGTGGGTTCAAACTGTCAACCTTTAGGTTTTCAATTGAGTGTAAACTGTTTGTGCCACCCAGAAATATTTTCTCACAAAGCATTTTATTTTAGGGGGGAAAATCAGTAAGCTTGGGCTCCTCCAATAAAAAGAAAACTGAAAAAAAAAAGTTATTATGCAAAAATCATCCCAAAAATAACTTCAAAAAAGATTTTATGCACAGAGTTAAAAATAGGGAACTTGTAATATTACTTGTAGCTTCAGAATAACGTGAGTTGAAGTGAAGCTGTTTCCACTCTCCTTACAAAAAAGAAAGACCACAAAAGAAAGTGTTCAAAGATTTGTTTAGTAACACCTCATGGTTTGAAAAAAAACATGTATGAACGTTTTTCATGACATTTAGTTAATGGGATCTCTATGAGTCAGAATTGACTTGACAGCACACAACAACAGTACTGAAAGTTGGTTGCCTGAGTGGTGCAAATGGTTAAGTGCTTGCCTACTAGCCAGAAGGCTGGCGGTTTGAACCCACCTAGAGACGTCTCAGAAGACAGCCTGGTGATCTGCTCCTGAAAGGTCACAGCCTTGGAAACCCCCCCATGGAGCAGTTCTACTCTGCACACCCGGGGTCACCACGGGTCGGACTTAACTAGATGGCAACCAACAACAACAACAGCACTAAAGTCTGAGACCAAAATGATTTTTTAAGAATTAAACACAGTGAGGGGGAAAAAAAACTACACAATAATGACACATTTAACACAAACCAGGTCTAGAGGTGTGAAGTGATCATTCCTAATGGGAAAAGTTAAAATAAAGTAGAAACGGAGCTTTTAATTGAACTTAAAATGCAATCACTTTGGAAATCTCTCTAAAAAACACAAATATAATATCAAACTAAGACAAATATTGGCCTTAATTATATAAAAATATTCTTATTTTCTCTGTTGAGGATCTTCAGTATCACATTTTTCAGGCATAAATAAAAAGGTGTAATGTGTACGATGACAGAAATTTAAGAACTGTGTAGCTGCAACAAATGGAACAATTGTTCAAATAATTTATTTCAATCGATTAAACACACCAGTATCAGAACATTAGGTCTTTGTTTTTCAAGCAGGCATGATGCCTGGCCTAGAGGAGGCCCTTAATGTTTACAAAGTTGATTTGTTAAAAGTTTAATTATTATTCCTAGAGCTCTTTTAGACAGAAAATTAAGGTATGGGTTTAATAATATCCCACTTTTCGTGTTTATTCTGTACAGTTTTGGTTTGCTCAAAATGCTGAAAAATCTATGAAAGGCCGAGTTTCTGAATACCTCGGCAGCTCTTTATCTCTTTGTAGAGATGCAGCCTCACGTGAAATTATGCTACTCCCATAATTACTTTTTTTGTCTGCAAAGAGTGCTTTTTGTTGGGCATAGTCTGGATTCTCAGTCCCTATGATGGGAATCTTCCTTATTCCTGGCTGGTTGTAAACTTCCTCAGGGATATGCTCTAGCCCTGCTTTCTTCCCCTGGCTCCCAGATGGTCCAGAGTCCAATTACAAGAGAAATTAGTAGATACAAAAAGAAGGATGCCAGAGAACACTGGCTTCTGCGTTTTCCTCCCTCCCATAAGGAGAGAGAGCAGCGGAGCATCCGAACTGGGAGCGTGTGGACTGGGCAGCTGAAAGTGATCTGCAGGTCTTTATCTTCCCCATCAATAGCAAGTACATATTTTATGTTTCTTTGGCATTATTCCTTGGCTTGTATGTGAAGAACAGCCATGATATTTACAGTGCTCTCTGCTACCATTTTTCAAGTTACAGCATTTCCAATGAGTGGTATCATTCAATGCTAAGCTTTACAAGTTACAGATTTTTTATGTGACTGGAAGGCCATCATATAAAGCCTTCCTTTCGGACAGGATCCTTCAAAGAACTAAGACAGTATTCCCATTATGCACTCCTCCCAGGAGCTGGTTCAGGCAGGTTGTGGTTAAGAGCGTAAGACTTGGAATCAGATAAATTTGGATTCAGGTTCTGGCCCACCTGCTTCCAAGCACAGTGCCTCAGGAAGTGTCAGTTTTCCCTTCTGTTAACTGGGAGAATATATGGTGCCCAACTCCAACGGTTCTGTGAGATTTAATGAAGACGACGCGCGGGAGCACTAAGCATAGTACCTGGCATCCAACATGCTTTCAGTAAGTGTCAACAACTGCTATTATGATCGTGAACTGGAAACTGATCATGAGTTTAATACTTTATATTCCAAGCATTTAAAATCAGTGAACAATCGGTAACATGACTCTCTCCTGTACAATTAGGAGACAACAGTATATTGACCTTTGGTTGCTCGTAATCAAACAAGTACGGAACAAAGACCTTGTAACACAATCATAACTCAACCCCTCTGTATTAGTATGTAAATTTCACTAATGTCAGAACTGGCACTTGAACTCTGCCCACCCCCTTCCCCTGACGTTGTCTCGCATCATCAGAGACCGTGCAGCTCAAACTTGAGAACTAACCTCGGGATGTGATCTGCATTTCTCTAAGGCTTTCCCATATATCTTACTTGGGCTGGATGAAGAAAAAAGTTCTCTAAAAATGACGTAAAACAAACCACCTGAAAATCACAGGAAAAGAAGATGAAACAAAGCAAGAGGAAGACAAAACAGGAAGTTAAAAAGACATGCAAGGTCATTATACTTGCTGTTCCTCCCAACCTGTAATGCTGATTCCAATAAGCACCACTATTAAGTAGGTAAAATCTCTTCCAGCTTCTTTCACTGTAAAGAGAAAATGATAATGAGTCCCACGTGTGCCAGGTGTAACCAAGAATGCGCACAACTCCAGAGTATCCAGTAGAAAAAATATGGACTCTGAGTTAAATGAGTGGTGTTCTGCCCGTGTCCAGAGCAGTTGTTGTCAAACCTCCCTGTGAATCAGTCACCTGCAGACACTTTTTGGAAGAACAAATTCCCAGGCCTGACCTCTGCAGAATCCTGGGAGCAGAGCCTAGGAATCTACATTTGTATTTTATTTAATACACACATTGTAACTTTAATACCTCCTTATGTGCTAAGGATGGGGAAACCCTAAAACCATGTGATCCAGTCCTCTCAGAGGTCACACAGAACACAAGTTTGCTGTTCATGGATTAAGAAAAGGGTTGGCTTTGTCTGCCTGAAGCAAAGGGATGATCAAAATGGGCCTCAACTCTTCACAGTCGGTAACTTTCCTGCCCTGCCACTCCCCTTGGGCGGGTGCATAAAATAAAAACAGAACTGCATTTAGAACAGGAGTTTGACCAGCCAGAAAGATCTGTGAATGGAACAGACTTAGAAAATGAAGAATCTGCACGATACTGTACTTATTTTGGTTGCAAGAATAATAACAAATGTGCATGATATTACATATGGATTAAATAGAAGTCTGAGAGCTAAAGAAATTCCATCAGGACACTGTACCCTATCTGTCCATCCATCTCTATGTACCTATCTACAAAGAGCTTTGACATTACAATACTGTAACATTATATTACAATACACGATGCTGAAAGAGTGAATCACCTCTTGGTGTTTTTCACCACATTATAAACACAGACTTCCTAAATATCAATCTCTTACAATTTTTTTTTCCAGAAACACAATGAAATGCTCACAGAGATTTTGTTTTATGCATTTTATAAAATAAGCAAATTTACTTTTATAAAACACTTACTTACAAGTACTCTTCAGCGTAACACAATCTTTCAAGTTTTCAGTACAGATTCTTAACTTAAAAGATGTGAATCAAATAATAAAAAGACTGCATCTGACAAATTTGTGTAATTCATGGGATTCATACAAACAGTGTCACCACAAACCCAACCTCCTCAGCAGGGTTCAGCAGTTGAGAGGCCTAAATAAAAACATCTCATTCCCTTCTTTGTTAATGTCCCAAAATAAACCTGATACATATTAACTGCCAGTCACGTGCCAAGCCTCAAGGTGAAGACACAATAGGAAACCATTTTGCCCAGTGGCCCAAAACAGGCCATTAGCTCCAAAGCCCTGGATCCCTGATAGCTCTCCCTTCACATTCATTCCTGCCTTGCTCAGGGTATCTGGAGGCCGTCCCCTACTCATGCGTCACAAGCATTTACTGTATATCTACTTGTGTAAAAATATACATTGTGTATCTACTCGTGTGAACATATACACTGTACACCTACTCGTATAAAGCCCTGCAATGAACAATATCTAGGTTCTACAGCTTTTAGGTCTGTGTTTACGTGTTACCTTACAGTTGTCTCCCATGGAAGAAGCTCACTGCCTACCTTCCTCTTCTTGGCCCTTTCAGACCTCACACCTTCGTGCATACAGCCCTCACTCACGCCCTGTTTCTGCAATCCTCTGCCCCCCTGTAGTGGGTGTTGTGACATGCCATCCAGACCTCCTTCAGGACTGGGCACTCACTCCTGGCTGCGTCCCTCTCTGGGAACTGCCTTCATCTGAGGAAGCCTTCTCACCAAGGTCAGGCCCCTGTAAAATTTCACTTGACATTCAAGGCACATGTAATATTATGGAAATAACAAATTTGAATTGCTTTCTTTGCCAACTGTTTTTTCTACAAATTACTTGTGAAATGAAATAATACAAAATTAAGTTAAAAATGCCTTATCTCATTTGTGAAAACTTCTGACTTTCCTAACAAATTACATTTTGTCCTTCCTATTTAATATGTATGTTCTGTTACTGCACGTATCACGTTGAGGGCAAGGGATGTTTTGGACATCTTTAATTCTGCAGTATATAGAGTCTGACTTAGTATCCAGGCACAACAGTTGTCACTCAACAAAAGTTGTTTACTCTGAACTACATAAGGTTTTCCCTATTATTAGTCAGCAATTTCTTTCCTATTTATTGTATCCAATCACTACTATATGCTCTTTAGTACTCTTTCTAGGAGCCCTGGTGTTACAATGGTTAAGTGCTCAACTGCTAACTGAAAGGTCAGTGGTTCAACTCACCAGCGGCTCCACGGGAGAAAAGACCTTGGCAATCTGCTTCTGTAAAGATTACAGCCTAGGAAATTCTATGGGGCAGTTCTACTCTGTCACATGGGATCGCTGAGTTGGTATTGATTCGATGGCACCCAACAATAACAAAGTATTCTTTCTTTGTAGCACAATTAATCTGCTTTTTCCACTATTGTTTCATGCTATCTATTTTCTTCCCAATTGAGTGAAAAGTTATTTGTGTGTAGGATTCCTCCGGCACACCCTTAGCACTAGCACCTGTCCAAGTACTGAGCTTAGAGTAAGTGGGTAGTCAAGAAATATCTGTGAATAGCTGTGTGACCTGGATATTAGGAAAACCGAGATGAGGAAAATTCATGTTTAATTTTCAGTTGCGTGATCTTGGGGAAGTGTGCCTCATACATATAAAGGAAAAGAACTAATGTTCACCTAAAAGAGACTCAATGAGATGAAATAACTTTTGAGAAACCTCCTTGTTAACTATAAAGCATGAAATAACGGTTAAATTTTATGTAGCTCTGTCACACCAGAACTAGTAAGATGTTGAGAGAAATTTTCTAGACATAATGCAACCAAGTCATATCAAATTCAAGATGAACTTTCAAATCTGAGTTCGAATTGGTGAAGAAAACTGTAAGCCTATATTCTAACTTGTGTTTAACGGTTCCACCTTTTTATTTGTGTGAATTCTCCATTTTTTAGCACCGAACTTTGTGTAAAAGGGCACTAGTGGCTTTTGCCACGTCTGTGGACGAACTGATGTTTACTGGATGGCTCTTTTTACCTTTCTGTGACGTTGAGACATCGGTCTCCCCTCTCGGACTTCTGTGCACCGACACTTGTTTGCTGCCGTCTTCCTTTGCTCTCCGGAGGCCCTGCCCCTGTGTCCAAATGGTTCTCCGGGTGAGCCCCAGGATACCTCTGGGCAGCAGAGTTTTATTCTGCTCTGGCGGCCCCCATTTCAGGCCAGGCTCAGTATTCAAGCAAGCTTTGTTAAACACCAAGCGGGGCCCAAACAGTCGCGCCCCTGTGGCCCTGTGCAGCTTCTCTGCATGCTGCACAGCTCGCAAAAAAGTACAAATCATGGTCACAGAGAGCCGCTCTCCTTAGGGTCGAGGCTAACCACAACCAGAAAAGCTTCACTGTCCACTGCACACTCACAGGACAAGGGCTGGTCAACACATCCACACCGGGATCCCACCTCACGACTCTGGCAAACACGCCCGCCCCAGCAGCGTGTTTAGGACGGAGGTATCGAGAAAGAAGCTGAGGGTCCCCTCCGTTAGGCCCTCTTTCTATTGGAGCTGAAACGATCGGTTTTCCTTCTACGCTGACATTCCTACTCTCCCCGCCATGCCTTCGCACAGCAGCCTGGAACCTCTGTGGAATTCTGGGAACAGTAGTTCGAGGACACACGCTCCCAGCACAGTTGCCGCGACGAAAGCACAAGGGACTACATCTCCCACAATGCACGATGGGCCACGTGCGCCCGCCCCCCTGACGCTCCCAGGCTCCCACGCGCGAGCCGTCGACTCTGCGCCCCGGGAGAAGCCGGAAGGCGGCGCCGTGCTCGTGGGAAATCTCGCACCTCGGTCGCGCGTGGTTTAAGCCGACCTGTTAATACTTTACAAAAATCGAATTAGCAAATCCATAGCGGCATGGTCTAGTGATCGGGGCTATGCGTTACTTAAGGGCAGGTCACTGAGTCTTGGCGTTTCACGTTCTCTAACGCTCTCCCGCCCGCCGCGGAGGCCGTGTATGGGAATCCTCTCTGGGGACGCTCGCGGCGTCGCAGCCCTGAGGCCCCCTGACCCCCTCTCCCCCAACAGCCGCTTCCAGGCGAAGTCGGTAGTCCCGGGGCCGACAGAACAGCGGGGTGTGAGAAAGAAGCCAGCCTGGAAGTTTCTAGAACGCCGCTGCGGGAGCACTTCGGGGCGGTGTCAGCACCGGCCCCGCCCCCTAGTCGGCGCACGCGCGCGGGCAGTGGGGTCTCCATGGCGACCGGACGCGGTTGGGCCTTGCAGCAGCTCCTGCGCTGTCCCGGCCCCGGGCCTACCCCGGGCGCCGTTGGGCTCAGGTGACGGTCGGGGCGCGGTGGGTGAGCGCCCAGGGGCCTCGAGGGCAGCCCCTCACCGCCTGCTCCCGCCCGCGTCCTCACTGATCTGTAGGGTCCCCGCGCCGGCAGGGCGCGCGCGTCTCGCTTTAAAGCGGGGAAGCCTCCAACTCGGGGAACGCTCGGTACTCGGTTATGTAGCTGCAAAGGAAATGCCGTTTCGCGTCCCCTTCACTCACAGCTATTAGGCTCAGTTGGACCAGGGAGGGGAGGTGAGGGGGTGCTGGGAGTCTCCTGTCCTCTTTAGTCACCTGCCTGGGAAGGCGTGCACGTACACACGCAAGTGTAGACCTCCAGTCTCCGCCACCACACGGCTGAGGCGTCCCCTCGGTTCCTGTGCTCTGCTCTTCTGTTAGCAGGTTCGCTGTTCTGGGCCCGGAATCGCCTCTTGTCGTTTACGTTTTTATAACTCAGGGAAGTAGAATCTGCTCTTGGAAACCTTCTGGCGACTGACACTCTTGTACCCAAGACTCCTGAACAGGGAACTCACCACTCCTAACCTCTGGCACGCAGGCTACCCTTTGACTTCGAGTCTAAGTCCTCCTTTCTGAGCTCAAACTAGGGGTTCTTCTCCTAGCCTGCTGTGCCCTGTCTTCCTCTCGAAGAGCTGGGGCTTGTGCCCGTCCTGTTCGGGCCAGAGAGGCCCATCCCTGCTCCATTGCTCTTGGGGTTTCCTCACCTACAGAGAGAAAAGCACCTTGGAAGAGCGAGGCGGGGCTTCTAACTAGGTCTTTTGGTTTGAACACCTGCTGATAATTTGCATTTCTAACAAGTTCCCAGGAAGTTGTACATAAGAATCACCTGGGGATCTTGTTAAAAGGTAGATTGTGAGTATATCTGGGGTGGAAATGCAGATTCTCAGCAGGGGTTTGAACCAGAATGAACTGGTTCAAATCCCTGAAGTGAGGTGGGTAGGGGATGGACACTGCAACTGATTTCTCAAAGGGTCTTCAGCTCAACTCAGAAGGGTAATGGCTTATTTCAAAAAGAAAACGACCCAACAGGTCAGAAGTATAAAAGTGCTACAGTGGTACCTTGTCAGAGCCCTCTCATTTTATCCTGAGCTGTTCATACCGCTATCATCACGCCTCTTAGTTTACCAGGTGGAAGGATAATCCCAAGAACAATTGGCATTTTTTTTTTTTTTGGTCTTTAGGGGTCTAGGTAATTTTTCATATTTTTCTTGATACATTTGTCTCCACAATGTTCTAATTTTATTATGCACTATTGAGTTCTTTGAAAATGCAGATTATATAATGTCTCAAAACTGGATTTTTAATATGTATTTTTTTTCCTGTACAAAGTTTACCTTTCTACAGTTTTTTTCTATTTACATTCTTGAGGGTTATAGTGTTTTTGTTTGTAAGGTGCCTTGATTTACAGGTGTAAAAAGTCATGCACAGTTTGCCTTCTAATAGACGAGTACCTATGTTTAAGCATAAAGAAGGGATTTTGTTAATTATCAGTTCAACTACTTAGCAGTTGTCCCTGAGTCTCCAGGACCGTTACCCCTGTCCACCCCTAGGTCCCTCTTAGTTCACTTACCCTGGTTTCCAAAGCACAACCCTGCCCCGTGGTGTCCTGATAATAGATCTGGTTTTTGATTTCGTGGCTGTAATGCTAGAAGTACCACAAACCTGTGGCGAATAAAATGGTGACAGCCTGAAAAAATTCTATTGAGAGAAACCCTGGAATTTAGATTGGAAACTTGAACTTTAAATCAATTTGCTGCTGTTACTTAGTCTTCAGTGTTCTTTTTGGAGGAGGAGAATGATTTTTATATGATAAATATTTTATTACTCTGTAAGTTGATATATTTAAGTATCACAAACTAGTAAAACCTGCACAAGTCAGAACCTGTGTAAGGCAGAAACCTGTCAGAGAAGGAAAACTCAAATATTTTCCACTAATACAGAGCAATAGAAAAGTGGTAAGACTGCACCCTGTGAAAGGTGGAAAACTTGTGAGACCTGTAAAAACAAGGCAGTCCTTTGGAGTTCCGGCTCTCACAGGTTTTACTGTAAAAGAAATATAGCAGAACATGGATCAAGCTGGTTTAATTTCTACCCTGTCTAATTTCTTTGATTTATCAGATAGTAACAATCAGGCCCAGAAAGTAGATTTTAAAAAAAATTGAACTTATTCAAAGCTATAAGCAAAAACCTATCCTTCAAAAAAAAAAAAACTTTAAAACTCAATATCATCTTACTAATTATATCAACCAATGTGCACTTAACCTTGTAGACATACAGATTCGCATGAAGACATGCATGGAACTGACTGGTTTGTTAATTGTGTGGCACTTAAAAATGCAGCTAATTTATTTTATGGAGAAATGGAGACGTGCTTTCAATAGCACCCCAAAGCCATATTGATAAGATTTACAGTTTAATAAAGTGGTAAAAACAGATTTGAAAGGAGAGTTGGGAGATGAGAGCCCCTAGCTTGCGACCTTAAACAAGTCACTTTAATTGTTTAGTTAGAGCCCTATCTGTAATCTGAGGGACTCTATGAGATCTGTTTCAGTTGTTGAAAACAAAGCAAAAAATCGGCTTTAACATTTTTAAAATGTGAAAGCATGTTTGTAACTGTAAGTATCCTTCATATTCCAGTTAAATAAAGGAGGATTGGATAAGTTTTAAATACTTACCTTGCACAGAATACATGATTGAGAATTTTTTGTAGAATTGAACTGATTATAAACTGTTAAACGTTTTAGTCAAACACAGAGGCATGAACGTTTACTCTTGGATTAGGGATTCAAATAGGGAAAAACCTTGGCCTTTGGTACTTGTGAAAAAAAAAAAAAAGTCCCAAACATGATTTACTTGTTCCATCATTTTTTAACACTACCTTTGAGTAGAAGATCTACAGTGTGATTTTGAGGAACCCACTAAGTTTATTTTATATCTGTATTTACAAAACCGAAACCAAACCAGTTGCCATCGGGTCGGTCGAGTTACTGTCGGGTCAATTTTGACCCGTAGCAACTACATGTGACAGAGTAGAACGGCTCAATAGAGTTTTCTTGGCTGTAATCTTTACAGAAGCAGACCACCAGGCCTTTCTTCCTCGGTGCTGCTGGGTGAGTTTGAACTGCCAACCTTTAGGTTTTCAGTTGATTGCAAACTCTTTGTGCCACCAGGGACCTATATTTATAAAACAGATGACTGTTAATTTACTTCACAGCAGTTTTTTATTTGTTCTGAACACGTAGGTTCACCTTCGCAGTGAGAGTTTATTGGCAGGCTGACCCAGTGTGTGTTCCTTGAAACATCGGAACACGCTGGCTGTGTGCTTCTCAAACTGGGTGGGTGCCAGTGGGCAGGGGTACACTGGGCATCTTCCTGGCATGTAAAATTCACACAAAGGCTTTGGGGAAAAATGTTAAATGACCAAACTGGTAAGTAACATAATAAGACAAACAGATAAACTATCCAGTAGAATGTGATATTTGCATTACTTTTGAAGATCAAATGAAGAGACTTCAAAGAAGTTTCAAGCTTGCTGTGGGCTATTCCCCCAGGTGTCAGGGGCCCGGTTTCAGCTTCTTTAGCATGAAGGGGCACTGTTGCTCTCCTCTAAAGGAGCCCTGGTGGCACAGTTGCTAAGTGGACAGCTGCTAACCAGAAGGTTGGCTTTTTGAACCCACGAGCTACTTTGTGGGAGAAATATGTAGCAGTCTGCTTCCTTAAGAATTACAGCCTTGGAAACCCTGTGGGGCAGTTCTACTTTGTCATATAGTGTTGCCAGGTGGAAACTCCAGGTTCTGCTTGGCATGACTTGTCTAAGCCAATAAATGAGAGACTGAGGTGGAAGAGTAGAAAGGTGCCTTTATTTTGTTGCACAAGGAAGGGAGACAGCCAGGGCTGCTGCTGCCAAGACTGCTCAGCGAGTATGAGGGGAAAGGTTACTTTTAAGGGGTTTACAGGTAGGAAGTTCATACAGGTTACATCAGCAACATTCTTAAATCATGCTATGCAGGCACAATGAGGTTTACATATAACTTCATGCATCATGTGTTCAGAAAGTGGTGATTAAACTCCACCCAGAGGCAGGGAAGTTACTATGTATGAGGTCTAAAAGGTGATCCTAAACCGGTTTCCGCCAGTTTTCTCTAGTTTGGGGACAGCAGTTAAGGAGAGGGGAACCAGGATTTTAATATAAAGTTATGAGGTGTACCAAGCAAAGGAACCTGGATTCTCATGTAAAGCTTCAGGAGGTGCCAAGCAATCTCCTTGAGGCAGCGGAATTTTCCACAGCCTGGGGAGCTCTGTCTTAATAGGGTCATTGTGAGTCAGAGTTGACTCGATGGCGGTGAGTTTTTGGGTGCTGTCCTCTGAAGGATTTGACTGTGAAACCCTGAAGGATTTGACTGTGAAACCATGATTCCTTCTTGCATATGGAATTCCCTTACAAAAAACCGTTTACTACATACTCCATATATTAAGAAAAGTTAGAAAACATATGGAGTTCTGCCCCTTCAGTCCTCCAGCCCCCATTTAAAAACAACCACTACCAAAAACCTTGTAATCCTATGCCCAGATATATTAACTCTTAAGATCTTCTGCTTTGTTCTTCCAGACGTCTTTACTCTGTGTGCACGTGTTTACCTTTTTTCTTAAGAGAGAAATGTAAAAATAAGGTTTTGTAGTATATCCTGATGTAGCCTGCTTTTTCAGTTGGAATGTCATTGATATTTACTGAATGCCTTTTGCATGCCAGGCGTGCTGTAGACAGGGCTTTGAACTGGTTTGTTCCCGTTCAAACCCCTGCTGAGAATTTGCATTTCTAACGTTCTCAGGTGATGCTAATGCTGCTGGTTAGGGATCAATTCTGAGAACCACTGGTAGAGCATTGGTTCTCAAAATTTGTTATACATAAGAATCATCTGAGGATGTTGTTAAACTGTAGCTTCTGATTCAGTATATGTGGGGTGAAAATGCAAAATCTCAGCAGGCATTTGAACCAGAATGAACTGGTTGAAAGTCCTGGTTTTGGGTGCTGAGGTGTCAAAAGTGAACGGGACTCGTGCAGAATACCACCTGGCATTTCTGCCGCTGTCCCCTGGAAAGCAGAATCCTAGGGCCAGGGCATCTTCCTTCACTCTTGTTGTTGGGTTCCATGTGGTTAATTTTGACTCATAGAGACTCTATAGGACAGTGTAGAACTGCCCCATAGGGTTTTCTAGGCTGTAATCTTTATGGGAGCAGATTGCCAGATCTTTTCTCCTGTAGAGCTGCTGGTGGGTTCAAACCACCAACCTTTGGGTTAGCAGCCGAGTGCGTAACCATCATAGCAGCTGTGCTCTGATCCCAGGGCCATCTCTGTAATGATCCATGTTACGTGTGCCACCCAGGGATCTACGTTTACAAAACAGATGACTGTTAATTTACTTCACGAATGTTTTCATAGCAGTCTTTCATGCGCTCTGGACACATAACTTCCATAGGGCTTATTTCTCTTTCTTCCAAGTTCTTGGGACTGCTTGCTTTTGCTGCCAGCTATTGCTCACATCCTTTTGGAGTGATAGTCCAAATATAGCCTGAGAATCAGCCTGGTACGAAAAACAGGGTGGTTAAACTCTTGATGAACAAAGTGGTTACTCGAAGTGATGACATTGGAAAACTTTGTGCCTGTAAGTCAGGAATTCTATAGACTTCACTCGCTTCTTGAGTAGAGTGCATGGTGGGACATGCATCGGTGTAGATTGCTTAAAGCAGCAGCTTTCAAACCTTTGCAGAAGAAATAGTGTATTTATCAGGAGCACTCTGTGGGTTGCTGCCTGGAAATAGGAGGCAGTGGACTACGTTCCTTCCTGGGTGTTTAGTTCATTGACTCCGTGGCACTTAACAGCAGATAACTGGTTTTGAAGACTGATTTTAAAATTTATTTTAGGAACTTCTGAAAAGAACTAACTGCATAAAATATTATTACCATATTTCATTGTGTCTAAAAAGCCATTGATTTTAAGATGCACCATTATTTTATGTACCAAACCAAACCTGTTGCCAATGAGTCGATTCCGACTCATAGGGATCCTAGAGGACAGAGTAGAACTGTCCCATAGGGTTTCCAAGGAGCAGCTGGTGGATTTGACCTGCCGACCTTTTGGTTGGCAGCTGTAGCTCTCAGATGCTGTACCACTGGGGCTCCTATTTTCTGTACCACGGGTAGGGGGAGGGGGGAAGACGACCAATTAAAATATATTCCCTTGAATGTGAGATTTTAAATGTAAAATCTAGAAAAGCCTTGAGGGTGAATGTTTGACACTTCTGTAGCTATGATTACCAGAGGGGAAGTTGGAGCTGGTCGTTTCCCTCAAAGGCCGACAGAGGCCTAGATTGTGTTCACAGTTCTGGTTCACAAATCTACATTTAAAAAAAAAAAAAAAAAAGGATACTATCTGTGTTAGGTTTCTGTTGTTGTATTATGGAAACTGGCCAGTCAATACAATTCTATCTATTCTTTTTGTTTCCATTAAATACATTTTGAAGGACCTCTTTGACATGGTGATTGTCTGTAGTGAAGGTAAGTGTTAAACTCTGAGGTTGACACTCCTCAGAGGAGGCTGCAGTCTTCAGGCATACTTATCCAGGATCCAACAAAAACTCAGACTGCCGTCGATTCAGACCCATAGCAACACTAGAGGGCAGAGTAGAGCTGCTGCAGCGGGTTTCCAAGGCTGTAATCTTTAAGGGAGCTGACTGCCACATCTTTCTCCTGCTTATCCAGGATACTAGTACATATTTCACTGTTTCTTCCTTTCTGTCTCTCTCTTCCTTTCATTCATTCTCTCCCTTCCACCCTCCCTCCCTGCCTTCCTCTCCTCCTTCCTTCTTTCCTCTCTTCCTTCTTTTTGTTCCTTCCCTCCTCCTCCATCCTTCCTTCCTCTCTTCCGTCGTTCCCTCCTTTTCTCGTTTCTCCTTTCCTTCCTCTCCTCCTTCCTTCCTTCACACCTCTCCTCCTTCCTTCCTTCCTTCTCCTCCTTCCTTCCTTTCCTCCTCCTGCCCTCTTTCCTCTCCTCCTCCCTTCTTCTCCTTTCTTCCTTCTTCTTCCCTCCCTTCCTCTTGTCCTTTTTTCCTTCCTCCCTTTCTTTTAAGCAGAAATAAAGTTTCACAGTGAGTAATCTTAGATGTTTATGGGTCCTTTAAATTTTTGCAGAGGGAACAGACAGTTTCTCTCTCATTTGGAAATTATGTAATTGGAGTCCCCTGTGTTATTTTCAGAAAGGGACCAGGTGTCAGGCCCACTGCAGACCTGCTGAAGCATTATGCCAGGCATCGAGAGTGCCATCGGAGAGCCGCCTCGGACTGCGCTGTGTCTCTGGATGGGTGAGTAGACATGGCTGGCTGTGCTTGGGGGCTCTAGGAATGGGGTTCTTAGGGGAAGTTATGATGCTGTGTATACCCGGTTGCTATTTTGGGTTCTCTCAGAATAGAATGATGTAGGAAGAGCGTATGACACGAGAGTTTGATATGAGTCATCGCCTGTCACCACTGTCATTATCAGACTAGTCTTCTGGAACTAAACTTTTCAAACTGACAACTAAATTTAATTTTCATTTTATTAAAATGTTCTTCAAATTTATTCACTTTCCAGTTGATAAAGACTCTTGAAAAGGAAAGAGAAGTTTAGAGTGTGCTCCTCTGAAAGTTCAAGTGCTCTCTGAATTTCTTAGCTTTTGGTATTTTGGCGAGAGTCTATGCTGGGACCCTCTGCACCAAGACCAGTGGAATCTTCCCTATTTTTAAAAATTATCTGAAACTGTTCCTGAGTCACCTGTGGATTTGCACTGTACTAACATTTATGGAGTAGCCCTGGTGGCACAGTGGTTAAGCGCTCAGCTGCTAACCAAAAGGCCGGCAGTTCAAACCCACCAGCTGCTCCCTGGGAGGAAGACCTGGTGATCTGCTCCCATAAAGATTATAGCCTTGGAAGCCATATGGGGCAGTTCTGCTCTGTCCTCTAGGGTCACTGTGAGTAGGAATTGACTTGATGGCATGGGGTAACATTTATGGAGCCCCCAACTATATGCTAGTCATTATATGGAGTCCTTTAAGCTGGTGTGATTACAGACGGACACTTTGCAGATTGAGAAAGTAAGGCTTACATAGTCTATATATTGCTGAATTCAGAGTCAAGCCTAGATTGCCTGATTTCATGCCTGGGCTTTTAATTCGATGTCATAGCTAACTCAGCCAACAGTGTACATATTTGTAGTGTGTTTTTAAAAGAAATTAAAAGCCAAAAAAGAAAGATTTAATTAAAGACATTAATTTAAGCTTTAAAGGCTATGCTCTGGGAGTAGAATCTGTCATACAATAATCCGATAGGAGGAATAGAAGAAATATTCTTTGTTTAGTTAATTCATTCATGAAATGTTTGAGGGCCTACTAAGTGCCACATACCATGCTTCGTGTTGGGGATGAAAATGCTGAGCAACTCAGGCGTGATCTGTGTTCTCCTGAGGCTTATGGCTTAGTGAGGGAGGCAGGTTTAGAAAGAAAAGTTCATAATGGTAAGTTGGGAAAGGTGCTGCCATGGAAACAGATGGATTCCATGGTCCAGAACAGTGAGGTCGGATGTTAGAAAGGACTTCTCTGAGGAGGTGACACTAAGCTGAGGACTGAAAGTTGAGATAAAAGAGGTTGGAGAAGACATTCTAGAAAGGGGAGACACCCCGTGCAGAGTTGCAGAAGTGAGAGGGGGCGTGGAGTGGTGAAGGAACAGAAGGCGGCGGTGCTGAGTGGGAGGAGGAGAGGAGACAGAGAGGCAGGGCCAGGCCTTCTGGGCCAACGTGGGGAGTTTGGGTTTTATTCAGGTTATGGTGATTTTAAGCACAGAGGTGTGACATAATTTGATTTTTTGAAAAATTCTCTTATTTACTTCTTTACCTTTTTCTTTCTCTAGAAGGAAGGGAGATGGAGAAATATGGGCAAATTTGGGGTATAATATGTATATTATTTGTGAATCAGATGTAGGTGTATGGGGAAAGCAGGCATCAGGGGGAGTCCTGGACTCTGGCTTGGGCAGATGTAAGTGGGGGTGCTGCTTGTCGCCATGAAGAAGGTTTGGGACTGAGAGTCACGGTGCAGACTTTGGAGCTGTTGCAGCCGAGATGTCTGGGGATGGAAATGCACACATTGGAGGAAGGGAGAGCACAGAGGAAGAAAAGAGGGTGGCTCAGGAGCAGATTCTGAGGAACATGAACATTTGGAGCCAACCAAGGAGTCAGGGTGGGGTGCCTATGAGGTCTTAGAGATCTTGGAGGATGGTCTCTGTGAACCAGGTAAGGTGACCACTGCAGAAGTAAGAGCCTGGCACGTCAGGTTTCTGCTGTGTCCTTTCCTAGCAGCTTGGCAGTGAAGGAGCTTAGGAATGTATGGGAGGTGGAGGGAGACCTGGAGGGTCAGGTCAGAGTAGGATTTCAGGAAGAGCTATTGTATGGGGTGTTTTCTAGGCTGATGGTAAGGATGTGAAGAGCAGCAGCAGGACAGGGTGGGCATGGAGGACATAAGGGGCTGGGGGCCCTGAGAAGACAGGAGAGGCCAGAACCCCTGAGAGGGCTTGAGGGGTTGGGACCTCTGAGAATGCAGAAGGGGCCAGGACCCCTGAGAAGATGGGGGTTGGGGGGGCAGGACCCTGAGAAGGCAGGGACCCCTGGACCCCTGAGAAGGCTGGAGAGGCCAGGACCCCTGAGAAGGGTGGAGGGGCTGGGACCCAGGGCTCAGGCAGGCACAGGGGTTTCCACAGAAGGAAGGATGCTTTCTCCACTGGGGCAGGTGGGAAGGAATCATGCCTGTAGGAATATTGGATGGCTCCACTATAGGAATGAGGGACAAGGACGTTTTTGTGTTTGTATTCCCATCCACTCATAGTGAGTATGCACATATTAACTTATATTTTCTCTGGGGCTTGTTGACCTAGAGGAGACTGTCCCTGCCCTCACATTCTGAACTTCTTTTCCAGATTTGTTGTCCTTCTTCTCCTTTGGTTGTCCCCCTCTTGCCTTCCTCTTCTCTTTCTCTCATGTCACCCGCGCCGCACCCCCATGCAATGGGAAGTAATTAGAATCCAACAGTAAGTAAGGCAATGTGGGTGGAAGAATCAGTTGTACCAACTTTGAGGAAACCTTTTAGAATCCAACAGTAAGTAAGGCAATGTGGGTGGAAAAATCGGTTGTACCAACTTCGAGGAAATCTTTTGAGAGTAATATAAAATGTCTTCTCTCTCAAGTGATTTACCCATAAAATGTAGGTTTTCTCCTCTTGCTAGAAATACACAGAGAGGACCCCCCTCTTTATTATGTTAGTCTGGGCGGGGGGTAGGAGGGTAAAACCTTTCTAATGTCTATCTCGAATGGGATTTTGTTCCAGTTAAGTAATTTTTACCTAGGTAAAAAGGTTGGTAGATACCTTTCTGAAATGTTTTCTTTAAACTCAATTCTAAATTTTCCTTCAGTTACATTCATTTAAAAAAAATAATACCTGCAAATTTTTGTTAAGTAGTTTGATCAAAATATAAAAATTAGATTGATGGATACCACAAATGGTCACAAAAATGTGTTTCCTTGCACCTTTGCTGTCTCTGGCATTAGAGACTTTTTCTCATTAGAAGTGTATGGTTTATTGACTTAGAATGTAAGGAATTTCAGTCGGGATAGGGTGAGGGATTTAACTAGCACCCAGGCAAGACTTCTTGTTTAAACTCTCTTGCTAGATATTGAAGACGCTTTTGAGCAGTAGTAGCCCATAAGTACAGAGCCCTGGTGGCATGGTGCTTAAGAGCTCGGCTGCTAACCAAAAGGTCAGCAGTTCAAATCCACCAGCCACTCCTTGGAAACCTTATGGGGCAGTTCTACTGTGTTCTAGGGTTGCTATGAGTCGGAATTGACTCGAAGGCAATGGTTTTGGTTTGGTTTACCACTTAAGTATTGACACGTATCAAATACCTTGTGTGTTAGTCACTTTTTCTCTGAGGATCTCTTTGATTCTTTTTCCGTAGTATCCGAATTTTAGAACTGATTATTTCCCCATGACGTGTTTGATGACCCGATTTCTGATTTTCATTTAATCATAATTAGTAAAAAAAAAAAAAAAAAAAAAATCACAAGTAGAGAGCATGAGCAAACCATTTAAATTGGCCATACCCTTTCCCCAGTCCTTTATCCCTAGCCCCCCATGTCTCGGTGACATATTCCATGGCTCCCTCTCACTCCTCTTTTTCTGAAGCTCATGAAGGGGCCATCCCTGCTCTCCTGGTGCCAGTCATGCTCGCTAGGCACTTGCAGATTCTGTGAATGTTTCGTGGAATTCTGACATCATAGAAGAAGATGGGGTGTTGAGAATGCATCTCGATGTCGTATTTATTTAGGCATAAAAATGGAAAACACACGCACACACACACATACGTCAGGAAACCTTGTGGGGCTTGGGGTCTCCATGAAGCCCCAGAGGAAGCAATCAAAATTGGAGAGTGGCATTGGACAAATGGGAAACAATTAGACGTTTCCTGATCCCTTGTGGGTTTTTTTTTTTTTTTTAGGGAGAGAGATTCTATGTTTTTCTTACTAACAGCCAAGAATGCACTGCATCTCTTCTTAATTCACCAAAGGATAATACAAAATTTCACGAAGGGAGGCAGTGAAATCCTGCACGTTGTTTTATAGGGTGAGTGTGATTAAAACACCAAGGACGTTACTCTTTGTACCCTTGGGTCCTTTAGCAGTTTATGCCCTGAGAATATAATAACCAGAACACTTCAATCAAGAAAATAATTGAAGATGAGGATACAGTTTGCCTCTTGTAGAGGAAGGGTTTGTTTATCTCCTCCTATTTAGGGATGAAAAGCCAGTTGTTTGCTCGGTAATTTGTTGAGTAGACAATCTTCCACTTTTCTGATTTTTCCTCTCTCTCAGTATGCCCTCAGAGATCTTACTGAAGATATTTTCTTATTTGGATGCCGTGAACCTGTTGTGCATTGGATGTGTGAACAGGCGCTTTTATCACCTGGCCAGTGACAAGTAAGGAGAAAATGAAATCTTTGTTATGTCTTGATAACATTTTGATGCCAATTGTGAAAACTAGTAAGAGCTTTTTAACCAGTTTTGAAAATTTAAAAGATTGATTTTGAGAGTATTTTTAGACATACATAGAAATGTCTAATGCTTTACAGTAGTCATATGATATTTTCATTATTTTGCATTTTTATGCTTACGGGAAGGAACATTCTTTGTATGAACCAAAAAAGATCAAACTTATGACATAGCTATTGGAGAGGGTTGCTGTAGGTCTGTTAGCTGAGAGGATTCAGACCTACTTCTCTGCACAGTCTCAAGCAGCCTAAACAGCCACAGGCTTCTCCCTGCACTTAGGGACCTTCCCCTGATTTGCCCTAGCCCTGGATTGGCAAAGTCGGAATCGACTTGAAGGCAGTGGGTTTGGGTTGCGTTTTTTATATCTGCTGGCAGCCAAGCAGAATCTATGGCAGAGGAGGAAGGGACTATGTTAATTAAGGATGCTTTGTCCTTCTCCCAAACTTGGCAGTTCAGTTAATTACTCTGGGGGAAGAGTGAACTAGGGCTAAGGGGGAGGCCCAGGTGTGACTTTCATGGAGGCTTGAGGCATGAAGGGTGGGTGGGGACTCCATCGCCCTCCTGTGCTAGTATGGTCTCTGGCCTCTGTGGGAAAAAGAGATGGGACCCTCCTTCTGTTGTGCCACTGGCCTTGCTTTTAACTCAGAATCCTGTCTTGGGGAGGGATGGTGGAATCCTCCTAACCTCTCATGAGCCATTTTGTGGCCTATGACTGAACATCTTGGCTTTTAGGTCCCTGTCTTGCTCAACATCAAAAGATCAAACAAGTATTGATCCTACACAGAACCCACATGTCAGCTAGGGAACATGTCAAGATAAAAGGGAATGTAGCTATAACTTGTAGTTTTTTTGAATAGATAAGGAAGTGGAAAATGACAGAGGTACATTGTGGGGAAGACCCATCACCTGGTACCAAACCAACCAAAAAGCTGTTGCCGTCTAGTGTATTCCAACTCATAGCGACCCTATAGGACAGAGTACAACTGCCCCATAGGGTTTCCAAGGCTGTCATCTTTATGGAAGCGACTGCCACATCTTTTCCCACAGAGCTGCTGGTGGATTCGAACTGCTGACCTTGTGGTTAGCAGTGGAGCTCTTAACCACTGCACCACCAGGGCTTCTATTACCTGGTACCAAAAAAAATGAAACCAAACCCATTGCTCTCAAGTCGATTCTGACTCATAGTGACCCTATAGGACAGAGTAGAACTGCCCCATAGGGTTTCCAAGGAGCGCCTGGTGGATTTGAACTGCCGACCTTTTGGTTAGCAGCTATAGCTCTTAACCAGTACCCACCAGGGTTTCCATTACCTGGTACAGTGGTTCTCAAATGCCAGTCCATAGAGCAACCACATCAGAATCAGCTGGGAAAGTTTAAAAAATTAGAACCCCTGGCCTGTATTTCCAGAGATTTTAATTCATTGGTCTGGAATCTGTATTTTTAAAATTTCTCCAGGTCATGCTGATGAATAATAGTCAAGTTTTGAAACCACTTATCTAGTGCATCTCTGACATTAGGTGTCTGCCATGTGAGTGAGGAACACAAAATAATCCCTCAGATCTCACAAAGCCATCTTCAACAGTTCGCATAATCAGAAAGGGACCCATATCATTCCCTGGTTGGGAGGAGTAGCTTTTCCTATCTTTTCATTTGAAAAGATGTTTCCTGTGCGGGAGAATCTATCTATCTATATCGATTGATCTATGTGTATCTATCTATCTATATGTCTGTCTATAAATGAATGAAATGGTGAATAATGTTCTTGACGGTAGTCATAGATGAATGTAGAAACAATTTTTATATGTCTCTTTCTCAATGACCCTCACCAAGAGCTGAGGGCATTCATTAAAGCAAAGTGCAGTGAGGCATTTTTCAAGGAAGGGGTTAACCTAATGTCCAAAACTGTAGCTTTCTGGAGGGTATCACTTTATTTAAGGATAGAACTCCGGCTGTTTAGATGAGCTGATGGGTTATACATCTCTTAGTTTCTCTGAACATCACTCCTCTTCTCTCCACTCAGACTGAGCCCACCTGGGGCAGGCACTGGGCCTCAGCTGACTGTGGCCATAGCTTATCACATATAAATAAAATGCTTGCTGTCATTTTCTTCAGGCCTCACTTATGGTAAATTAAGTAAGATGATGTATGTGAGAGTGTCCACCATACGCATTAAGTGTAGTAACTGGAGTTTATGGTCTTATCCCCCTCCATGGGACTGTTTGTTTCTGAATGTGTGAGTGCTGGAGCATGTGAAAGATAGAATCAGCAGTAGTTTGTGTAGTGATGATATGAGAAATTTGAGGTTCCGTACAGGTCTTCCTAATGCGAAGGAACACCTAAACCCGTTGCCATTGAGATGATTCCAACTCACAGCACAGCAACCCCAGAGGACAGAGTAGAACTGCCCCTTAGGGTTTCCAAGGAGCAGCTGGTAGATTCGAACTGAGGACCTTTTGGTTAGTAGCCAAGCTCTTAACCACTGTGCCACTAGGGCTCCAAAGGAACACTTAGGTAGGGTGAAATGATGAGTAAAATAAATCTGAAGAAGACACAATCAAGTTTTTATGGAAAAGAAGTTTTTAAAAGTGTCCAGTCAAGGGATTTTGATGAATCAGTTTCAGATTTTCCCAGATACGTTCAACTAATCATCAGTTCGCATCTGTTAACTCAAATATGAAAGCCCAGAGATTTCTGCACTAAAATAAAAACACTTTAAGGTAGAAAGCTTGGTGTAAAATGATTTTGAGGAGTGAGAAAGAGATGTCCATATTCGAGAGAGCTGTCCATGGGGTCTGATGAGGTGTAAGCTGGTGTTTGTTGGGAGGTCCATGTGATGTTGAATCAAGGAGATGTGTTTCTGAGTCACATGTTTGCAAAGTGATCCTTGTCCACTGCAGTTACTGAAACAGTAATGACACTCTCCCGGTCAATGGTGGCATTTCCTGTGGACATAGCGCTATCCTGGGTCACCCCTGACTCAGGGAGAGTAGCCTCCTCCCACACTCCTCTTGGAAATGTGGAGAAACCCATTAGCAAATAAATATTATTTATGTAAAATTTGACCTTTGGATTAGAAAATTGATTTTAATCCCTGCCTACTCTCTTCCCTGCTGGAGAGTATGGGCTGGAAGAAAGGAGCATCAGGGTCCAGCTCTTAGGCCCTCTGCTGACTAGCTTCTTAGGCAGAACTGAATTTGGATCCCAACATGGTGGCTTACTGGCTTTATGAATTTGGATAAATTATTTTCTTTGTACCCACTTCTTCATGCCATTGAAGAGGCAGTGAAGTACAGTGGTTAAGAGGGCATGGATTCAAATGCTTGTTCAACCACTTACATACACAGAGCTCAGGCAGATCATTCTGCATCTGTGCCTCAGTTACATCGTCTGTGCAACGAGGACAATCACAGTAGCTACCTCATGGGTTTGTTGTGAGGATTAAATAAGATAATGAATACGAGGTGCCTAAACAGTGTTTGACACATAGTAAGTGCTCAAAAAAACATTAACTGTTGTTTAGTTTTTATTATTAATATCTTTTATTTCTTTTCTCTTTGTGAAGCCAGTACATGTTCACTGCTGGAAAATTAAAAAATAGAAAGCAAAAAAAAAAAAAAAAAAAACATACAAGTCACTGTTGACGTTTCCTGTGTATGTGTGTGTGTATCTTTCTGATCTTTTAAAAAGCATGTAAACATTTAAAAAAAAAAAGACAGAAGTCACACTGTATACACTTCCTATTATTTTTCTGTAACAGATCTCCTATCACTTATTGATACAGGAAGGCAGTGGTTTGAATGGTCCCAAATAACATGTGATCTCTCACTTTAAGCTTGACCCTGGGAGAAATATTTTCCATTTCAGTATGCGTTTCTGGGGTCAGTGAATCTAAAACACTTCATCTCAAACTGTAATTCCCATGAACAACTGTAATTGTTCATTATGAAATTAAACTTCTTAGAAATTATTGTGCCTCTCTGATTTAATATATTATTATATTAATTAATGTTTATAATTAATGAATATTATATATTATTTGGAGCCCTGGTGGTGTAGTAGTCAAGAGCTTGGCTGCTAACCAAAAGTTCCGTAGTTCAAATCCACCAGCTGCTCCTTGAAAAACCTATGGGGCAGTTCTGCTCTGTCTGATAGGGTCTGTATGAGTCAGAATCAACTTGACAGCAATGAGTTTGGTTTTTTGTTTTATATATTAATTTAATCATTAACATATTAATTATTAAAAAATACTACAGGTATACGACAATGTCTCTGATAGTTAACAAATTTACTCCTTTCCCCAGTTTTATTTGGGTCAGAATCTACTCCACTGCTTTTTCCCCTAAACGATCTAATTGGAAGGTTAATTCAGTAGAGAAGACAGCTGTGTCTGTGAATCTCCTGTCACTCGAGGATAAAGAAGCTGGATATTGGAAGAAGGAATACATTGCAAAACAGATTGCCTCTGTGAAGGCCACGGTGGCCCAGCTTCTCCAGCCTGTGAACCCTTACACTGGCCTTCCGGTTAAGATCAAGGAGGCGCTCAGGTGAGCTGTGGTGTCTCAAAAGGGGGAACCACACTGTGACAGTGCTGGGGAACACCTTAGGTTATAGTCGCTTTAGAAAGAATGGTGGCGTAAGCTCACAGTATTGTGCGTGTAGGAAACATGGGCCACTTAGATGGTGGGAGGTGTCTCTAGTATTTATTGTATATTTTTGTGTATCTATAAAGTATATTGTATTTTCCTATTCCATATGTATGGTCTAAAGTTTTTATGTAAAGCAGAAATACCGTAGTAATCTGGTTCAGTAGAGCAAGAGTACTCAAGGTGTCCTTCCCTCTGGGCAGAACCTTTGTCTTCTCTCTGCGGGTTGCTGGTACCTGGAGCAGAGAGGGTGTTCAATGAGGGTTTGTCAGGTGGGGAGAGAAAGTCTAGAGGGAGATCTGTGGGTGAAATGAAAACTTGAGTCAGGCGTGTTCTGAGGACTTTGATTTTGGCTTCTAAGGAACTAGATGGTTTAGAGATGGTATGTGAAAATCCTTCAGCATTTTTTCCCACAATAAGGCAAATATTTTTAGCTTTTTTTTTTTTTTTTCCTCTTCAGAGTATCTGGTTTAGGTTGGGTAATTATACTGAGAGACAAAAGTGGAAAAGAATATCTCACGGAGCGTGTTCACCTTTCTGTAAATGACACGTCAGTTTCTGTTGTGTGGTATGGCAAAAACTGGCCATGTCTGGCCACGTTGTCAACCTTAGATTTGTGTGGCGTGACACCAGTTTTTATGGACCGGTATAAATCCCCCACCAAAAACGGGTAAGTATCAATTCAGCACAGCCATTGGATGAGCAAATCTTGTATGTGAATATCAGTTGGATTACTTTGTAATTCAGAAGTACTGCCGGAGGATTTTAATTTGTGTGCATCTTTGACTTCTTTATCAGTCTGGGTAACTATCAATAGGAAAAGAAAGGCTTTTTTACATCTATGATTAGGTCTAAACCTAGGTTCCTCATACCTTGGTTATCTGTAATGTTTAAGGAATGATACTATAGTTAACAAAATTTCCTGGCTGATTGACAATTAACCTTTGGAAGTTGTTAGTTTTAACAATTTTAAAAGAAAGATGTCTAAACCTGTTATATTTTCCTCCTCTCGTAAATAGTACACTAATCGTAATTTAAGCGTCAGATAATGAAGTCACCGTTATTAGTAATTTTTAGGTGCCTTTCTGTTGGACTCACTAGATATGTGATCTTGTGCATGTAACTTACTCTTTCTTTGCCTCTGTTTTCTCTTCTGTAAAATGGGATGATGATGATGGTGTGGTATTTAGCATGTGGCTGCTGTGGGGAAGAGTAAAAGATTTAGTTGTAAAATAGGAGATCAGTGTGTATCATGAAGCTAACGCTTACTGAGCACTTAGCATTATTCTGTTGTAAGGTGGATATGAGCTGATTCCATACTCGGCAAGGCTTGCAGCTTGCTTTTCCTGACAAATCTCTCCTGCTCATTTTTCTTGTCATGAGTTGTTTCCTCTTAAAAGGTGTGCCATGGCATGTGTAGTATCCTGATCTCCTGAACAAGCTGGCATGTCGTCACATAAAGTTTATTGTTAATACAGAATTGCCTTCTCCAGTGTGGGTTTCCTGCCCTCTCTGCCACCCTTGGTGCTCTCTCTGCATCCTTTGACTTGTCAATGGCATTTACCACATCACTTTTCTCACTGTCCTGATGTGCTGAGCGTCCACCCAGTTGCATTAGTCTCACTCACACTTGTCCTTGCTCTGGAAGGTGTTGACATACCTCAGACTAGTGACTGCTGTCTCCACGGCGGGGCTAAGCACACGTTTCTGCAGCTCTATAGCTGGGACCTTGTGTTTGGCCCTCCCCGTGCTGCTGGTCTCTGAAGATTGTTGGTGATCTCTGAGCTCACTGCCTGTGTTGTAAGTATGAGAGAATCTGGCTTCTTAGTGCTGGTAAAGCCAGGTTTTATTGTACAGGTAGTCCCTGACTTACGAAGTATTCAGTGTTGCAGCATGTAATTTGCTGATGTTACCATTCTCAGACGTTTACTTGCAGATATTCAAAGATTGGATTTATAAATATACTGATACTAAAAGGCAGTAATAATGAAAACTGAAAAAAAAAAAGTATTTGACTTATGTCAGAACTGACTTACACTGGAGTCGTTGGAACAGAACCTTGTTGTTTAAGTCAGGGACTACCTGTACTCTAGAAATATTCTTAATGCTGTGATGAAAAGGATGTGTTTTCCTTATCACATTACTGAGGCTATTCTGGAAACATACTGGCTTTTAAAAATAGGAAATGTTGTTAGATGCTGTCCAGTCAGTTCCAACTATAGCCACCTTATGTGCAACAAAACAAAATGCTGACCAGTCCTGCGCCGGCCTCACAATCATTGCTATGTTTGAGCCCATTGTTGTGGTCTCTGAAATTCCATATTGTATTGTGATCAACCAGGTTTTTCTAGTGTTGTATTTATTTAGGTTTTAGGCACTGTGAAATTATGTACACTGAATGATTCCACAACCTCTGTACTAGAACACTATGTTATTTGACAAATCATGAAATACTGTTTACAGGTATTAGGACAACACTATTAACATTCATACACATGATATAATTTAAATGGATAGCATTGGACTGTAAGCTCAGATAAAGATAGCTGGACAATGAATGAGAAAGACTGAAGAAGAACTGATGCCTTTCAGTTGTGGTGTTGACGAAGAATACTGAATATACCATGGACTGCCAGAAAAACGAACAAGTCTGTCTTGGAAGAAATACAGCCACCGTGCTCCTTGTAAGTGACAATGGAAAGACTTCGTCTCATGTACTTTGGATGTGTTATCAGGAGGGACCAGTCCCTGGAGAAGGACATCATGCTTGGTAAGGTAGAGGGTCGTTGAAAAAGAGGAAGACCCTCAATGAGCTGGATTGACACAGTGGCTGCAACAATGGGCTCAAACATAACAATGATTGTAAGGATGGCACATGACCAGGCAGTGTTTCATTCTGTTGTTCATAGGGTTGCTGTGAGTCAGAAGCGACTTGATGCACCCAACAACAACAACAAAGGTAGTGTATTTCTGAAAATTGTCATCCGTGTCAGTAATACTGAATACTACGCAGTGACAGATGCCTGGATTCATTGGGAAAATTCATTTAATGCAATTTATTTCTGTTAAAACTCAATGGACCCCAGCCAGCATTGGATAAATAGGGGTAAACAAACACCGTTTTTCATCCATCTGTTTTTGTAGGCACGTTTATTGCATGTTTGTAAGCGAATGCTTTCATGATGCAGGAATACAAATCCTTGTATGCATCGGGATGACAAGAAAGGAGACACTTTGTGATTTTTTATTTGGGTTTGTTCTTTGTTTCCTCCATGAGAATTTTTTTCCAAGAACAGCAAAACCCTTATTTATGCAATTTGCAGTTTGAATTTCCCTGTAATTTATACTTTTTTAATCAGACTCATTAAGTTTTCTTCTTTGCCAGTATTCTGCGTTCTGCAGTTTGTGCTACACCTCCTAAAATTTGTGAGGAATGTTGGGTAAATATCAGCCTTATTTCTGTGTCAATAGCCTTTAAGGCCAAGGCAAATGCAGACTTAGCACGTTCCTGGTGGAGTCTGTTAAACCCCTTTGGACACTTCAGTTCAAGAGTGAAAGAGGAAGGCTTTTCTCACCCCCACCCAGAGTTGCCTGTCTACAGGAATAATAATAACAGCAATGACGACCATTTATTGAGCACCTATTATACTTTAATGATATTTTCCTCTTTTAATTTTTCTACCTCCTCCTCCCCTGGGTGGGCAGTGCTCTCTCCACACACAGGTGAAGTAATGGTCTGAGGTAGCTGTGGAGTCTCTGTCAGTGAGGTTTCCCTTACTCCACGCTGGAGTTCTTAATCCTGTGTCGGCCTATCTCCAAGCCCATTCTGTTTGTCCTGAGGATATTTTAGGTTACACATCACATGTGCTCACCAACCACCTCTCCTTAGCCGGTGGTGGTTCCCTGCTTAGAAAGCTCTTTTAAAAAACTTGCATGAGAGGCTAGGGTGGGGCGGTAGATACAGATTTGGTTTTGATGCCGTACAGCGCCCTGCTTTGAGACAGTTCTGTAGCTGAACGTCCTTGGGTATTTAATTCTTTTCATCAATGAACGGTTGAATGTCCGCTGCCCATGTGTTAGGTGCTGGAGGGAGCCCTCGAGTGTGAGGTGGTTCAGCACTGGGCTGTGTCCGTAACTGTCACTGCCAGTGCTCAAGGGGATGCTAAGACCTCGTCTCCCTTACAGTTGCCTGTAACGCCTCTAGGTTCCTGGGAAGGATGAACACCTCTGTCTGCATTATAATGCTTATAGAATGCCTTCCTATAGTTGGGTTTCAGCCTTATGATGAGCAGCCAAGTTAGGTTTTCTTTCTTACACAGTATCTGAGTTATACTTACTCTTAGACATTAAGACCAATATTGAGTTCACAGTGTGTCTCCTTCATGAAAACCCTCATGATTTTGGTTTAAATTTATTTTCTAGTGTCACGGTTTTCACTGTCTATGAGTTATCCTTGATAATAGCTTTAAAAGGCACATCTGTTTTCTGAGAGGCTGCTGAGACCACCTGATTTGGGTCATTTAAAGTACTTTCTCTTTGCTTATGGATTACTTCACTCACTTCATCAGGGGCCTATATGGACAGTCTCCTCTGGTTGTAGTGTTGTGCTGGGTTTGGGGGGAAGAGAGTAGTTGATGGTTTTGCCTGTTTCTCGCCTTCCTGACTCTTCATCTCGCTTCTGACTGGGCTGTTGGTGTTGACAGGGAAAGTGAGAGGGAGGAGAAGGAAAGCACAGGTGGTGAGAAGTTTGAATGTATCCACTTTGCTTTTTACGTATAAGAAGTTGTATGTGTTCCCCCTCCTCAATGGGCCACTCAGTTTAGGCACATGGTCAGCATGCTCTTCAAAAGCACTAGAGTTAGCAACTGCCCTGACACGAAAGCTCATTTCTCTCTTTCCTTTCTTTGGCAGGGATGTGCGTAGACCTAGGTGGCGTTCTTTAATTGCAAAGTACAGCCTGAGCGACCTGAGTGAGAGTACCCTGATGGGCTGTGATGGGCTTATCCGGGTCTTCGGCCTGAGCCCTGGCCTCCTGGTGGGGCTCTGGAAGGTACGGCCGGAGGTCCTTGTGTGCACACGCCCTTTGCTTATTTATAGCCCCACATTGCTCACCACTGTGTGTGGGATCAAAGCCAAAAATCCTGGAAGACTTTCTACTAGCAGAGTCCTGTTAAACCACCTTGCCAACTTCATTTTTCTAGCTACACGACCTCTATTCCAGTGAGGCAACTGCTAGTCCACCATCACAACTGACAGATTTTTTTTTTTTTTTTGTACCTGGATGCTTTGGTTCGCAGTATTCCTTTACTCTCATGGGGATTTGCCCCTTCCCCGCCAACCACTCCATGTTCCTTCCTTCTGTTTCTTTCATGTCCTTTCTCTGCCAAAGTCTCTCTCACTGTACCTTTAACAGAGTGGCCTCTGAAATGTTTCTGGTCCACATGTGGTGTCAAGTACAGTGTGCCCTTTGGGTTCAAGTGTGAGGAGTTCTCTCCCACCGAGCAGGTTTTTTTCCACCAGCTGAAGTCGGTTGCCCTCCTCTGGAGCTATTTCTGAGCAGTCATTTCATGAAAGAATAGTAGTATGACGTGCCCCTGCACAAAAAACCCACTGCTGTTGAGTCAATTCCAACTCATAGCGACTCTATAGGACAGAGTCGAACTGCCCCATAGGGTTTCCAAGGAGCGCCTGGTGGGTTCGAACTGCCGACCTTTTGGTTAGCAGCCATAGCTCTTAACTACTTCACCACCAGGCTGTACAGCACAGGTTTGTTTAAATCTGTGCCTTTGGCCTATGAACGTTTTAAGATAATTGTTCACAGATTTGATTCTGAGAATCACAGTCTGCGTTTGCAGAGGATGACTAGACAGAATCAGGCCCTACACCTTCTAATCATATCGTCCACTCACACCTTTTTTTTGTTTTCTCAGCCCACTGGGGCAGTTGGTCTTTCTCTCCCTCCCTCCCTTGTGTGTGAAGGGGACTATGGGCAAGGTGGCGGTTTGCTTGCTCTGCGTTTCACGATGGGAATTCATTGAGGTAAGCTGGCTGCACAGTGATGAGGACTGTCTGGCTGGTTCAGTCGCCCACTGTCTGGGTTTTGGAGAATGGCACCTTCAGATCGACCATCCAGTCACTTTTCACCCGGTGGTGTTGGCGGTAAATTTGGGGGAAATCTGTATCAGTTCTGCCGCTCAACCTGATGGGCAAGGGAAGAAGTTGAGTCTGATCATCCCCACTGGATTTGCTAAGTCAAGCAGTTACTCAAGAAAGGAACATTATGCCAGCACTATTAAGCATTTAGGAGCCCTGGTAGTGCAATGGTTAAGTACTCAGCTGCTAGCTGAAAGGTCGGTGGTTCGAACCCACCAGCCACCCCGTGGGAGAAAGATGTGGCAGTTTGCTTCCATAAAGATTATATCCTTGGAAACCCTATGGGGCAGTTCTACTCTGTCTGACAGGGTATCTATGAGTCAGAATCAACTTGATGGCAGTGGGTTTGGTTGGTTTTTTTGGTTAAGCATTTGTGAAATTAATCTGTATCTGTGAACATCTTACCAGTATTGCCTTTATCTTTGGAAAGAATTTGAAACAGCCTGGAACTGACAGTGCATATTTTCACAATCCCCAAACATAGTAGAGTGTTTTGATATTCTACAAGTACCAGGATGTTGATCCTTTTGGTACTGTATGCACTATGTATTGGGGTGAATTGTGAGTTTGCTGTCTGTATGACATATGCATCTTATCAAATAGTAGTCAGACATTAGCACATTAGTTGTTAGAAACTTCTTCTGTCTGCAAGATGAATGTGCTGTGGTCTTCAAAAAGACTTTGTGAAAAATTAAAATATTTCCATTGAAAATTAACTTTTTAAATTAACTTTCAGAGGGAGGAAGAGTTGGCTTTTGTTATGGCAAATCTTCATCTCCATCAGCTTATGGAGAGGAGCATCTTAGGCTCGGCTACTATGTACGTATGAAATTTTATACACGCTTGTGTTTAGTTTTCGTGCAGTCAATATAAAGGATGAGAATATTCTGAGAATAATTCTGAAGATATTCTGCTTTTAATCACTAGACACAAACCAACAGTCATAATCACTTAGCTGTTGCGGAAATAATTGGATTATTCATGAGTACAGATTTGTTTAATGTGTTCTGGGTTAAGCAATATGTACCTAGTAGAATATTATTTACAGGGGTAGGATAGCTTCATTACTGTGAGAGGCTAGTACTGTCCCTCAAATTCTTTGCACTGAAGTGAACTCTCATGTCTTGCTGGGGAATTCTCTATAGCAGGGCACACAGACTCCTGGGCTGTTGGCTGAATCTGACTGGCAGCTATGTTTTTGTTTGATCTGTACAGTGTGTGTGTGTTATGATGCATTTGGGTGTCTCCAGGTGGGGTGGGTACTTTCTACTTGCCTGCAGCACTCTCCCTTCACCTATGGGGTTCCACTCTTCCTTACTTATATTTTTATTCCCTGAGAAGCTCTTGAGAGCTTTTGAGTTTGTTGCCTTATGTAGTCAGGTCTTCCCTATTGAGCAGAGCTTTGCGCACCTTGGCTCTGGGTCTCCACTCAGGTCCTGGTGTGCAGGTCTGTTGGCGTGGGGTATTTTCTGCTGTGCAGGCCTGTCCTCTTGATGCTGAGAGGATGCTGAAGGCGCAGGGCTGCCTCTGCAGAGCTATGGTCCAGGGGCTGATCTCAGAAATCTGCCCTACAGGGTGGGCTGCGGCTGCCTGCAGAACTCGTAGAAGTTGGTATAGGAATACAGAGCAGTTATTCTCAGCCCTTGGTATTGAAGATTATCTACAGAGTCTCATTGATAGGATGAGGTGCTTTGAACAGATGTTGATTTTTTTTTTTTTAAAGTATTTTCAGTGCTTTTGGCATTTTATCTCTGGTGTTGACAAATTTGTGTGTGTGTTTTGTTTTGCTTTCTAGCCCGTATGACCTGCCTCCTCATAGCCCCTTTTTGGATGACGCCCCAGAGTATGGCTTGCATGGCTACCAACTCCATGTGGATTTGCACAGTGGAGGAATTTCCTACCTGTGTGGCACGTTTCGCAATCTCTTTTCCAAGAAAGGTGAAATTAATTGAATTTTTGTTTCAATATCAGATAAAGAAGCTGGAGAGAGAACAGGGAGCCCATTTTTATGTCTGTGCTAAGAATTGTTGCCCTAACTGGTAACTTGATCATCTATTGCCACGTCTGTCCCTCCGCCCAGCCAGACCCCTGTATCGTTCTGGGACTTGTGAAATACTGCAGCCAGCTCTGGTCTCTTCCGCTGCCGTCACTGTCTCTTTCACCACCATCCCCCTTCCCCTCCACCTCCTGGAAGTATTCTCTGCTGTTCTGCTGATTCCTCTTTTCTACTGATTCCTTACTTATTGTTTTTCCCCACCTCCTTCCCACCCCCTCTTCAGACTTTTTCCCTTCCCAAAGGATTTTGATGAATTTGCCAAGTGGGCCAGTGTAGGACCTGACCAAGATCAAAATAAAGAGACACCAGCCCTTCTCCTTTTTCTGGTTTGCTAAAGGGGGAGCTGAAGTCCTTGATTTGAGAACTTTCTTTTTTTCTAATATAGAGACACTTAGTGCTATAAATTTTCCTCTATAAGTACTGCCTTATCAACATACCACACATTTATTTTCATTCACTTTAAAATACTTTCTAATTTTATTTTGACTTTTTCTCTGATCTATGGGTTAGATGGAACTGTGTTAGTTTCTAGCATTTGGGGATTTCCTGGGTATCTTTCCATTATTGGTTTCTAATTTAATTTTATTATATTGTTGTTGTTGTTAGGTACCGTTGAGTTGGTTCTGACTCATAGCGACCCTATGTACAAAAGAACAAAACACTGCCTGGTCCTGCACCATCCTCACAATCGTTATGCTTAAGCCCAGTCTTACAGCCACTGTGCCAATCCATCTCATTGAGGATCTTCCTCATTTTTGATGACCCTGTACTTTACCAAGCATAATGCCCTTCCCCAGGGACTGGTCCCTCCTGATAACATGTCCAAAGTATGTGAGACATAGTCTTGCCATCCTTGCTTCTAAGGAGCATTCTGGTTGTACTTCTTCTAAGACAGATTTGTTTGTTCTTTTGGCAGTCCATAGTATATTCAGTATTCTTGGCCAACACCACAATACAAATGTGTCAGTTCTTCCTTGGTCTTCCTTATTCGTCATCCAGCTTTCACATGCGGATGAGGTGATTGAAAACACCATAGCTTGGATCAGGTGCCTGTTAGTCTTCAAGGTGATGTCTTTGCTTTTCAACACTTTAAAGAGGTCTTTTGCAGCAGATTTGCCCAATACAATGTGTCTTTTGATTTCTTGACTGCTGCTTCTGGGGGTGTTGATTGTGGATCCAGGTAAAATGAAATCCTTGACAACTTCAATCTTTTCTTCATTTATCATGATGTTGTCTATTGGTGCAGTTGTGAGAATTTTTGTTTTCTTTATGTTGAGGTGTAATCCATACTGAAGGCTGTAGTCTTTGATCTTCATCAGTAAGTGCTTCAATTCCTCTTCATTTTCAGCAAGCAAGGTTGGGTTATCTGCATAATGCAGGCTGTTAATGAGCCTTCCTCCAGTCTTGACGCCTTGTTCTTCTTCATAGAGTCCAGCTTCTTGAGTTATTTGCTGAGCGTACAGATTGAATAGGTATGGTGAAAGGATACAACCCTGATGCACACCTTTATTTTATCAGAGATTGCAAAGTGATGATTTCCTAGTTCTATTGGATTTCTTCTCCATCTATTAGAATTCCTCTACAAAGAATTTTCTCTCATCAGCTATTTAGTTACCATGAAATATATAGTTAGTACAAGAAAAGCAAGATACATTCTTGATTCTTTCCCTTTATTAATTTACAGAATAGAGAATTAATGCTATAGCAGTCTTCAGAGTTCACTGATATGTGTTTTTGGGTAGCACTATTATGAATGAAAGAAGCCCCGGTGGCGTGTTGGTTAAACACTCAGCTGCTAACTGAAAGGTTGGTGGTTTGAACCTACCAGTGGCAATTCAGGAGAAAGATATAGGGAGCCTGCTTCCGTAAAGATTACAGCCTTGGAAACCGTATGGGGCAATTCTACTCTGTCCTGTAGGGTCCTATGAGTTAGAATCGACTCCACGCAACAGGATTGGTTTTTATTGTTATGAACTTAAGGGCTAAAAAATTTATTTGATGTATTTTACTCTATTGTAGTCGTTATTATTTTTATTGTTATTTTGATGCTCAAATTGTCCTGTGTTTGGCCAATGGCTCCTGTGTTGTCTTGCATGACTCTAGTCGTCTTTGATGGCTTGCTTGTGCTCCAGCGTGACAAGATGCTGAAGGCTCATCTTTTCTGTTTGCTACCCCGACCTGGAAGTAGCCATTTTCCCAAAAAGCTCTGGTTCCTTTTAGTGGGGAATGGTATTCAGAGACCATCATCGGGACCCTAGGGATACTCATTGCTCTTGGGTTTTCATTGCTTTTAGAGTTTTCAGTGGACAGATCTAGGAAATTTGTAGATTTTATAATGTGAAGAAATAGATCATACATTCATTTAAATTAAAGATCTTAGAGTTTTTTTTCTTAAATTTTTTGTTTTATTGTACTTTAGATAAAGGTTTACAGAATAAATAGTGTCTCATTAAACAGTCAGTACACCCATTGTTTTATGACATTGGTTAACGGCCCCACGACATGTCAACACTCTCCCTTCTTGACCTTGGAGGACCTTTTTTTTTGGTGAAAATATACATAGCCAAAGTTACACCATTTCAAAAATTTCTACATGTACAATTCAGTGACATCAATTACGTTCTTCCAGTTGTGCTGCTATTCTCACTATCCTTTTCCAAATTATTCCATCACTGTTATCTTCAACTCACTGTCCCCTAGGCTTCCCATCAGACCTTTGAGTTGCTGTTGTCAGTTTGATCTCTCATAGATAATTTTTTTTTTTTTTTACTGTAGATGAAGGTTTACAGAACAAGATAGTTTCTCATTAAACAGTTAGTACACATATTGCCCTATGACAATGATTAACAACCCCATGACATGTCAACACTGTCCTTTCTCAACTTGGGTTCCCTATCACCAGCTTTCCTGTCCCCTCCTGCCTTCTAGACCTTGTCCCTGGACTGCTGTGCCTTATTAGTCCTGTTTTGTTTTATGGGGCTGTCCAATCCCCGGCTGAACGGTGAGCCTTGGGAGTGACTTCACCACTGAGCTAAAAGGATGTCTGGCTCAGAGTTTCTCCAGTCTCTGTCAGGCCAGTAAATCTGGTCTTTTTTTTTGTGTTAAAACTTTGTTCTACATTGTTCTCCAGCTCTGTCCAGAACCCTCTGTTGTGATCCCGGTCAGAGCATTCATTGGTAGTCGCCGGGCACCATCTAGCTGTACTGGTCTCAGTCTGGTGAAGGCCTTGGTAGCTGTGGTCCATTAGTCCTTCGGACTAATCTTTTCCTTGTATCCTGTTCTCTTCACTCTCCCTTGCTCCCGAAGGGATGAGCCTTCTATACCTATTTTATTGAGAGTTTTTATCAGGAGTGGGTGGTGGACTTTGTTGAATGCCTTTTCTGTGTCAATTGAGATGATGATGTGAATCTTTTATTTATGTGGTGGATTATGTTGATTGATTTTCTAATGTTGAACCATCCTTGCATACCTGGTATGAATCCTACTTGGTCGTGGTGTATTTTTTTTTGATATGATGCTGAATTTTATTGGCTAGAATTTTGTTGAGAATTTTTGCATCTATATTCATGAGAGATATTGGTCTGTAATTTTCTTTCTTTGTGGCATCTTTGCCTGATTTTGGTATAAGGGTTATGCTGGCTTCATAAAATGAATTCGGAAGTATCTCTTCCTTTTCTATGTTCTGGAATAGTTTGAGTAGTAATGGTATAAACTCTTCTCTGAATGTCTGGTAGAATTCTCCAGTGAAGCTATCTGGGCCAGGGCTTTTTTTCGTTTGGAGTTTTTTTATTACCTTTTCAATCTCTTCTCTTATTATGGATCTGTTCAGATTTTCAACATCACTTTGTGGTAGTTTGGGTAGGTAATGTGTTTCTAGAAATTTATCCATTTCCTCTAGGTTTTCAAATTTGTTGGAGTATAGTTTTTCATAATGCTCTGTTATAATCCTTTTTATTTCAGTTGGGTCTGTTGTAGTGTCCCCCATTTCATTTCTTATTTGGGTTATTTGTGTCCTCTCCTGTTTTTCTTTTGTCAGTCTGGCTAGTGGTTTGTTGATTTTGTTGATCCTTTCAAAGAACAAACTTTTGGTTTTGTTGCTTCTTTCTATTGTTTGTCTATTCTCTATTTCATTTATTTCTGCTCTGATCTTTATTATTTCGTTTCTTCTAGTGGCTGTGGGCTTTTTTTGCTGTTCTGTTTCTGTTTGTTCAAGTTCTGTAGTTAATGTTTTGATTTTGTCCTTCTTTTTTTTTTTTGTTGATGTGTGCGTCTATTGCTATAAATTGTCCCCTTAGGACTGCCTTTGCTGTGTCACAAAGGTTTTGGTATGATGTGTTTTCATTCTCGTTTGATTCTAGGAATTTTTTTGATTCCATCTCAGATTTTTTCTATTATCCAGTGATGTGTAAGCAGGGTGTTATTCAGTTTCCATGTAATTGATTTTTTTTCCTTGCTCTTCCTGTTGTTAATTTCTACCTTTATGGTGTTGTGGTCAGAGAAGATACTTAGTATTATCATAACATTTTGGATCTTCTTCAGGATTGCTTTGTGGCCTAAGATGTGGTCTATTCTAGAGAGCGATCCGTATGCATTGGAAAAGAATGTGTATTTTGCAGCTGTTGGTGGAGTATTCTATATATGTCTATGAGGTCAAGTTGGCTGATTGTGCTGTTTAGGTCTTCTGTATCTTTGTTGAGTTTTTTTATAGATGTTATCTCCTTTACCAAGAGTGGAACTGTCAGTTTCTCTTTTCAGTGCTGTTAGAGTTTGTTTTATGTATTTTGGAGCCCTGTCATTGGGTGCATAGATGTTTATTATGGTCTTCATATGATGGATCATCCACTTAATCATTATATAGTGTCCTTCTTTGTCTTTTATGGTG